TTTTGGTCGCTTTCAAAAAATCGGTCATTTTTTAATAAAATATGACACATTTATAATGAAAATTTAATTCTAGGTCTTAAAAATCGTCCAAAAATAAAATATACCTTTTGAAAATTTATATGAGGAATATTAGATGACTTAAAGTATAATTAGTCTGAATTGAAAAAAAATTTACTTTAAGTTTAAAATAACAGAGAAATGAATTTAAAAAAAAATTATATAATAATAATAATGATTTTAGATTTTATTTCTTGTTCTACGGATAATTTGTCTGTTAAAATATAATTTAAGAAAATGACGGATGAGCGCCTTTTCCATATTATTTTTAAGTACTCAGTAATCTTAAAAATATTTCCCGTAATTTTAAGAATGCTAACTTTAATATTATTATAGTCATCGCTCTTATTTTTTGATAATGTCGTGTATTAAAACTTATTTAAAAAAATCTCGTAGGAAAATAGTTTGTATTAAGCTTTTCAATTTCATTAGTAAATATATTTTTCACTTAATAACAATATCACCTAACCCGATTGAAGCAATGCAGAATTTTAAATGATTTAGATATTATAAATTATTATACTTAAAATTTAATAAAGAATGAAACAATTTTTGTAAAAATTCATTATTCATTTTAAAAAGAAAATTATTTTTAAGAGAATAAAAAATCTTATTTATAAAAGCAACTGAGATCTTTTCTAATTAAATAAAGTCAGGTATTGTGGTTAAATTATTTAAGTTGTCTTGTCTTTCTCATAATTTGTTTTCTTTTCTGGTCGTACATTAAAAAGAAATTGTACCAATGTTTTGTATGTCCGAGCGCTTGTTTGTTTTCCAGCGTTTTCGGATAATAAGACATTCCTATAAGTCTAGATACATACATAAAACAATCCATAAATTCAGTTAAAATTAAAATAAAATTCATCGTTGATAATGGTTAAAAGTATAGCCGAAAGCGCTCGGACTTACAGAATATTTGGACAATTTGTATTTAATTTGAGTACAGAAAAAAAAGGCCATATTGTTGTAGCATACCTACGGACGATAATGAGTATGTCCCCATTCACATAAATACAGTAGTAAATACTGTATGTTGGTCTGCAGTTGGAGATTCGTCTCTAGCTGTGCTAGTCAAAGTCTTTGCCTCCGGGCAGAGAATAACCCCAGATGTGTCTGTGTCGAAGGACAGAGTCTCGTCTCGGGAAACAGCTACCCGATTCCGTTTTATACGGGGTCTACGGAGAATATTGGCCGAACCTCCGGGCTCGGATACCCCACATTAAATTCGGACTTGTGTCGCATCTGACCGCGTGGGGTGGTTGGTAGTTATCCTGCTGTTGGAGATTCATTGTGGAATTCACTTTAATTCACTTATAGAAGTTGAGTACTTCTCCTACGCGCGGCTGGCGAATCTTATATGTCTTGTTCTTGTCTTAAGTATTATCGTTCATTACCAACCTTCGTGTGATTATTCTATTCAGTAACCTTCCCTAGGATATAACATACATGAAAATTAAAAAAAAACAACTAAATTGTCAGTTGTTTTTAATGAAAATTGTATATATATATATGTGTCGTATCAGAAAGTTATTTTTCTCGCCAGGGTTCATTTTGTACATTTCCAAATCTACCATTTGTTCGTGCATTGAATACTGCTGCCATATCCGGTTTGGTTTTCTGCTATTCATCTCCAAGTTCTTGGCAAAATCCAAATAACGACCTGTAATGTAATCGATACTGACTTGTCATCTCGACTTCAGTCAATTTCGCACCGATGACTTCCCTTGGTTTTTTCTACAAATATTTTCATGGCATCTGCTCTGACGAGGTTTTTACCCTGGTGCCTCAACTTCAGGAATTTATCTAGTGCCACCTGGATTGACATCTAGGTGGCACCCTTTTGTTCTTGAAGTAGTTAAAAGTAACCGCCACTTCTACTCAAACAGTTTATCAATCCTCCTTAAAGACTGTCTTTTCTCTCACTTTTACTCCTTATGACTCTCTGCGTACTCGTGCCATTCCTGACTTGTTTGGGGTTGATTTTTTCTTTTAATTTGTAACTGAATATATATATATATATATATCAATCAATCAATCACTCAATCCCCAAGCCGAGTTCGAATTCCAGTCGAATCCATGACATTAACTTACTTGCTAATACCCTTGGGAAAGGTATGAATCCTCTTCTTCTCCCTCCAGTTATGGGTAAATAGCAGGACAGACTGGGTTCTATAGCCTTGGATAGCAACTGGTCTAGGAGAAGGACAACTCTGAATTCAAAACCTGCTGAGGGTCGTTTGGGGACCTTGTGGCATTCGGTGCACCAGGTCTCTGTATTCGTCCCTTCAAAAAGTGTGCATGGTCCTGCACGAGGCCTTCACCACTATAATCAATTATCATGTGCTGTTATCGGGCTGTCGGCTTCCTGGGAACTGATCTGCTTGACCTCATACGTCGGATTCGACGGAAGAGTCAAGCGAGCGAGCGATATATATATATATATATATATATATATATATATATATATATATATATATATATATATATATATATATATATATATATATTATTTATTTAAAAAAATTATAACATAGATATGTTATAAAATCATACAAAAATAGCGATTTTGTTTCAACACCTCTGGTGTCTTCTCAAGTGATGATGCCGAATGTAGATTGTAGAATAAAGGTTTTAAAAGATTGAAATTAATTAACCACTCCTTGTAAGGGGAAACGCTGTCACATGAGCTGAAATGACCAATCAAAAAACAAGTATACGAGAATTTAAAAAACTTGAGAACGAATAAGGTTATAATAACTATTAAACGCTTTAAAGTTGGGTTTATGCTAAAATAGAATTTATTCTATCTAATGGTAATTGTTGGTTATTGAATTTATACCGTATATACCAATCATATACTTTATATATATATATATATATATATATATATATATATATATAGTCATCCACAGACAGATTGTTTCGCTGTATCACAGTTCTTCAGTGTGGCTAGACGTTCAAAACTCGACCGATTTGGCATCAGTCAGAGATCCTACTGCTAAGCTATCGGCTCAACGTAGCGAGAAAGGGAAATTGTAGAGTTTTCTATACGAAATACGCCAGTGGCTAAGAGATCTCAATTCATAGTTGAAGAGCAATGCGCTAATAACATCTGATTTTAAAATCCCCCTCTTCTCCAGAGAGCTCAATCGAATTTTCCGATATGCTGACAGACAGACTGTTTCTCTGTATCACAGCTCTTCAGTGTGGTTAGGCGTATATATATATATATATATATATATATATATATATATATATATGTAATGAAAGGCATTTTTTTTTATTTTCCAAACACTTTCAACACCGTCTTGTCATCTTCATTGCTGATATGATTGAGTGCTGACTTTTAAAAAAATCTTATTGATGCTTGTATTATTTTAGACGTTATTTGGTCAGATTTTACTTGCTTCATGTTCAGAAATGAAAATTTTTGTATGAATGCACGCAGAAATGGAATCAAAAGATTAATTGCAGTAGCTTGTCAGTCATCTTTAATGAAACGCCTATATACCGTATTTTCCGGCTTATAGGACGCTGCGGCATGGAAGACGCACCCTAATATTGGAAAGAAATTTCTAAGAAAAAAAGTTATACAAAAGTTCTCGTACAACAACACATTCACCATGTGTTGAGATGTTGAGTGTTTCCCCGTGCGTGTATTGAAATAAGGACAAACACATACGTAGGGAAAAATACTGGTATATCTGAAGAGGTATTTACAACAGAGAGATTAGTAGTCAAACGAACGCAGGTTAGTCAGTAACAATCAGAAAGAGTATAAAGTCCAACTGTATCTTCCGGTAGAGATACGGGAGTGTGATGGTCACCTGATCTCTCAGAACTCTATAGAACTGTCCTATTAGTAGTAGAGAGATCAGTCCATTCTGATGAGAAGGTAGGTGGCCCTAACACCATGTGTACCTCAAACACTGATGCCACGTATTGTTTACATTAACCACTCCTGCGATTTAGCTTGTATAGCAATGACATATTAGTCAAGAGCAGAAAGTCTCCCACTGCTGCTTAATAAACAGAGCATGTTTAAGCTTGTGGCTCGGCTCCAAGAAGGTTTCTAGTCTTGGAAATACTAATAACAGTACTGAGGTTAAATCATATAAAAGACGGCATTAGATAGATTGCTAACATTATAGTGTCATAATTCAACATACAAATCCACGTCCCTATCACTCAGGTCAATTAGGTGAACGTCCGTGCTTACTTGAGACTCATAAAGAAGTGGGTATAGTGGAATTTTACAGTGAATTTATATATATATATATATATATATATATATATATATATGAAGAAATATAGTTTTAAGGTGTGCGATATTCAAGGGATAAAGTGCTCAATTTCAGAGATAGAGCTTATGTAAATATAAATATAAAAGTGAACATTGAAGTCAACATTCAGCTGTTTCATGCTAGACGTCTACCTTGAAACAGCCTGTCGCCTCTGAATGTTGACTTCAATGTTCACTTTCATATATATATATATATATATATATATATATATATATATATGTGTGTGTGTGTGTGTATGCTTGTATATATAAGAAGGAAGTGAGAGAGAGGACGAAGGAAGAAAGGCAAAATGATCAGAGTGAGATAGAAGAAAGAAACGAAGTGAGTGATGGATGAAAAGAAGGAAGGAAGGAATATATATATATATATATATATATATATATATATATATATATATATATATATATATATATATATATATGTGTGTTCACGTGTATGTATTTATATCCAAGCATATATTTATCTTTGTAATTTTACATGCAGGATGTATGAAAACATATACCCTATTTTTGGACATACTTAATTATGACATCCCATAATATAACTATTTTGTATTGTTGTTAGATTTTTACTCGGGTCTGAAAATATATGCATGTGCGCATGCGTGCCTCTGAGTAACAGCGATTGCCAAAAAAAAAAATGGCTGCATATTATTACACGTCTTTAGGTAATTCATATCAGTATCTAAGCGATATTAATTCAACTGTTTATTCACATAGCTATTTATCTCCGCATTATTGTCCCGTTTTATATTTGTTAAAAATCCTTTTGCCTTCAATTGCTAATAGTTTTCTTTCTTTACTTTTGTTTTCTTTCTTCTTTCTTTTTATTTGTCGTTCATTATTTCATTTGTTTTATTCGTTAGCTTTGTCTTTTCTTTATTTTATTCTTATTAGTGTTTTCTTTTTTATTTTAATTTTTGTTCTTTTTCATTTTAATTTTTGTTCTTTTTCATTTTAATTTTTCTTCTTTTTCATCTTAACTTTTCTTCTTTTTCATTTTAATTTTTCTTTTTATTCATCTTGCATGTCTTTCTTTTTCATCCGAATTTGTCTTCTTTTTCATCTTACTTTTTCTCCTTCCTTTCATCTTAATTTCACATCATACTAGCCTAATTTCCTTCTATCTTTTATTAATCTGTACATCTTTTTATTGCAGTTAATTAACACCGTTCTTTTTAATAGTCTGATATTGCGTTTATTAGTTTTTTTCTTTCTTTTTCTCATTCTTTCATTTTTCCTACTATTGTTTCTATATTTTCTTTTTTATTATTATTTCTGCTTTCACTCCTTATCTTTCTTTCTTTCTTTCTTTCTTTCTTTCTTTCTTTCACCCATTTTTATTCGTTTACTTTCTTGTTTATTTAATTTGTAATTTTCTTTTCTAATTTTTTATCCCTTCCTTCTTTTCCCTCGTCTTTTTTTTTCTATTTTCTTCCTTCATTATTTTTTTTCTTCTTGTCTTTCTTCCACCGTTTTTTAGTCCTATCTCTTTCCCTCGTCGTCGTTTTCTCTGTTCCTTCTACCTTACCGTATTTATTCCTACCTTTCTTTTTTAGTCCTCTCTCTTTCCCCTTTCATAGTTTTCTTTTTTCCTTCTCTTTCTATTGTTTACCATATTCTTTCCTTTCTTCATTCCTTCATTCCTTCCTTCCTCCACCCCTCACTTCGTTTTTTCCTCTGTCTCACTCTTATCATTTCCCTCTCTTCCTTCGTCTTCTCTCTCACTTCCTTCTTTCCTTTTCAATCCTCTCTCTTTCTTATCGTTTTTCTTTCCTTCATTGCATAACACAGTCATTCCTTCCTCTCTCTTCCTTCCTTCCTTCCTTCCTTCCTTCCTTCCTTCCTTCCTTCCTTTTTAGTCCTATCTCACCCCCCTTTGGTACTTTTCTTCGTTCCTTCTCTTTCTATTGCTTACCATATTCCTTCCTTCCTTCCTTCCTTCCTTCCTTCCTTCCCTTTCTCTCATTATTTTCACTTCCTTCCGCCCTTGTTTGCCCTCTCTTTCCTCTTTCGTCCTTTTCTTTATTCCTTCTCTTTCTATTGCTTAACAAACTTCCCCCTTTCCTTCCCCTCTTTCTTCGTTTCCTCCTCTCATCTCTCTCATCATTTTACCCCTCTTCCTTCATTCTCTCTCCCATTTGCTTTCTTTTTTTTAAATCTCCTCTCCTTCTTCTCTCGTACTTCTCTTTCTTTCTTCCTCTATTGCGTAAAACATTCCTTCCTTCCTTTCTCTTCCTCGATCCCTCTCTTCCTTAATTCCTTCTCTCCCTCATACGTTTCTTTCAGTATTTTCCATCCTTTCCTCTCATTTCCTTCCTTCCTTCCTTCCTTCCTTCCTTCCTTCCTTCCTTCCTTTTATCCCTCGCTCTTTAGCGTTTGTCATTTTCTTTGTTCCTTCTCCCTATATTGCTTACCTTATTCCTTCATTTCATCTTACCACATTCCTTTCTTCCTCTCTCTTCCTTTCTTCCCGCCCTCGAACCTTTCATTTTGTCTTTTCCTTCTTTCCTTGGTTTCTTCTTTTTTCTAGTCCTTTCCCTGTCGTCTCTCGGCCTTCTCTTTGTTCATTCCTCCATTAATTAACGCATTCATTCGTTCCTCTCTCTCCCTTACTTCTCTCGTCTTTTTCTCTCATTATATCCTTCCGTCATTCCTTCCTTCTCGCTTCCATCTTTTTTTAGGCCTCTTTACTTCCATTCTTTTCGTTTTTCATTCTCTGTCTATTGCTTACCTTATTCATTCATTTCCTCTCTCTTCCTCATTTCCACCAGTCCTCTCTCCGTTCCATCCCCTCATTTTTCTCTTTTTTCGTTCATTTCTTTCATCCTTTACCCTCTTCCTTCCTTCCTTCCTTCCTTCCTTCCTTCCTTCCTTCCTTCCTTTTACACTCACACTTCCTTCCTTACATTTTGAGTCTTCTCTTTTTCCTCTTTTTTCCTTCTCTTTGTTCATTCTTTCTCTATTGAATAGCACATCCTTCTCTCTCCTTTCCCTTCCTCTTCCCCTTCTCTCATTATTTTCCCCCTCTTCCTTCTTTCCTTTCCTTTTTTAGCCCTCTCTCTTTCACCTCTCGTCCTTCTCTTTGTTCATTCCACCATTTCTTAACACATTCATTGATTCCTCTCAGTCTTCCTTCCTTCCTTCCTTCCTTCCTTCCTTCCTTCCTTCCTTCCTTCCTTCCTCCATCTCTATCTGTCATAATTTTCCTTCCTTCCTTCCTTCCTTCCTTCCTTCCTTCCTTTGCCCCTGGTTCCTCCTCCTCCTCTTTCTCCCTTCCTTCCTTCTTATCAGCTTCTACCCTCCCTCCTTCTTTTTCTCTTTTCGTTTTATACTTTTATATCTTTTATTACCATTTTCATCAAAATTAAACATTCTTGCATGTCCTTGAATGAGAGTCGTACTGTCGAGTAAATGGCAACAGATAACTTGATTATGACATTGTTCCTTCTCTATTATTTACACTGCTTAATAGTTTTGTATTATTTATTATTTCCATGTTATTGTCGTCATTATTCTTGCTTGTAGGATTTGCATTTATCAGTTCATTTTATTTATTTCATTTTAATACTACATTCGCATTGATTCTTTTGGACATCGATTACAAGTTGTTTTTCCCGTATTGCGTCATCGCCTATTCATTGGCTGGCTTCGAAATACAACAATACCCAATGGTAATCAAAATAGTCGAACAGTAGGCGGAGCCATTAAGTTTGATTGACATCAAAGAAAATATTTTCTTTCTTTCTTTCTTTCTTTCTTTCTTTCTTTCTTTCTTTCTTTCTTTGCTTATCTCTGTTTCGTGTTTGTTTCATTCAAATTAACATCCGGGTTGTTTTTTTTTCAACAGTTCTTTTTTTCTTTTGCTTTCTTTTCATGATATATATATATATATATATATATATATATATATATATATATATAAAAGATATATATATGTGTATATGTACAAATGAGTGTATGTGTACAAATGAGTTTACTAATTCCTCGTAGTAAGACTGTATATGTATGGAGGGGAAATATACGCACGCATATATACACGCATGCTGACAGAAACACACAAAAATGGAAACAGATCCAAGAACACATAGGGGTCAGTAAAACATTAAAAGATAAAATGCCGATAAGCAATTCATCATTTCGCTTGGACCAACTTTAATTGTTTTATGACCCTTCGCGCAGAACTCTTCATTGCCAATTCAAGATAGAAATTCGGATTACCAACACACAAACAGAGAATGTCTCATATCGAGAATATTTCACATTGAACATAAGGAAAAAATTAATTATTTTTAGTAATATGTGTAAATCTCCGCTTTTACCTGAAGACGGTCGCGAGACCAGAAACACGTGTAGTAAAATTATGGAAAACAAAGCATAATATTTTTTTCTAAATAAATCCACATTACAACCAAAAACGTTTGCGGCACCTCGCGTCTCTTCTTTTTAATATATATATATATATATATATATATATATATATATATATATATATTTCCATTGATTTTCTTTACTTTTTCTTTCTTTTTTCTTGACACTTTTATCAGTTTTTGACATTTAAATATATATATATATATATATATATATATATATTTGCAAATTCCCATAAAATTGTTACAGGTCCTATCTCTTTAACCAGTTTTATATTTAGTGGGTGCTACTGCTGTTCAACCTGATATAAGAGGGTTAGTTGTTTCTGAATATTTATCACAATCTGCATTTCGGGTTAACACAATTTTTCAGTTTGTGTGCTTGGCTATTTCTAGTTAGAAAGAATTGATCTTATGCAGCAAGAATATACCCTTCGTTTCAGCTTTTAACCGTGCACCGCTTAACCACTAATGAGTACGCGGTTCGTCTACATCAGTTTGCTTGGTACGGGCAGAGTATTGACCATGAAGAGGCTTATCTTGCCATCATTTCTGCATTTGGCATATCACATTTGCTTTTGCTTTCTTTGTTATGTTCTTTGTCGCTGCACTCAATGTATTATGGTTTATTTGCACTTCTTCGTCCACTTGAAATTTCTTTTTGAATTTCTTGGCTTTCTTTATTACCGAACAAAGTTCATTATTTCTTTCATGTTCTTTGTAGTTCATCCAGTCTTTTGTAGTTTCCAGTTATCTTTGACGACCGACTGTTGTAGGTTAGTAAGACAGTTCTAGTTGAACTAATCCTCTGCCTCCGTCGGATCTGGACACTTACAACATCAGCCTTAGTGTTATGGGATCTTATCCATAATAATAATAATTCCATACTTAATAAATACTGCGCCTTAGGAGTAGGCAGGGAGTCAGTAGTTCAAGTCTTGACCGGCTGTTCGGTTGAACTCTCTGCCTTCGGGCGGGAAGGAATCCGAACGAGGCTACGCCGAAGGGCGGAGTCTGTTTCGGGGAGGTAAACCGGCCCTCAGCCCGTTTATACGGGTTCAATGGGCATATTTTGGGGCCGAGCCCACGGGCTCAGAGAACCCACAATAAATAACCTACCATGCTGCCCCAGTGGGGGGGGGATGAATATCGTCAGTCGCTGAAGTCTTGACCGGCTGTTCGGTTGAACTCTTCCTTCGGGCGGGGAGGAACCCGAACGAGGCTACGCAGAAAGGCGGAGTCTCTTTCTGGGAGGTAAACCGGCCCTGAACCGTTTATACGGGTTTAATGGGCATATTTTTGGCCGAGCCCACGGGCTCGGAGATCCCACGTTAAAAAAGCGGCCTTGTGCCACATGATGCCCCAGTGTGGGGGGGTGATTGAATATCGTCAGTCGTTCAAGTCCTGACCGGCTGTTCAGTTGAACTCTGCCTACGGGTTCAATAGGTATATTTTTGAGATCCCACATTAAATAACCGGCCTTGTGCCACATGATGCCTCAGTGGGGGGTGGTGACTGAATATCGTGCGTAGTTCAAGTCGAGTCAAGAGTCGAGTCAGAGGCAGTCCGAAACAGAGTCGCGTTGAGACAATTACTGCAAAACATTGGAATAGTGATACTGGTCGAGACTACATTGTTCTCTCTACAAAACCTGATTGTTCATACTAACACTTTCTACTTCTTTGTATATATTCCTGTTTGTAATATATCTGTGTTATTCCATATCCGTGTTCGAGTTCTTCTTTATTGGTTCTACCTTGGACTATCATCGGGCTACAAGAAATCGGACCATAACACTTAGTATGATGCATGTGGTGCAAAGTGAGCAGCTTTCTCGTTTTGACATTCATTTATTTAATGTCAGATATGGTCCAGTTAAGCATGTTGAAACTGTATTGCACCTCAGTGTTTATGACTGATATTCTGTTTTATGAATTCAATTCGGTATTTAATATCAGACGCACACGCCTTTTCTTACTTTCTCCTTCATTTGGATCTGCTGTATTTCACCTCCTAGGTACCTATAGACTTCTTCGTTCCAGTTCCTTAATCTTTGTGACAAAATCTAGGTGTATTGAGTGTTTTTTCTGTAATTCTCCCTTTCTTGAATGTTACTTTTGCACATTTCTCTAAACCGAAATTCATACCTATGACATCACTGAAAGATTTTACAGTATTGAGGAGACGCTTCAACTTATTGTCGTCTTTGGCAAAGAGTTTGATATCATTCTTGTAGAGAAGATGATGAAATACTTTCCTGCTTACTTTGTATACATAGTTATTACCGTTAAGTTCATGTAGAAGGAGGATTAAGGGCAGGCAAAAGAGAAGAAGCAACAGGGAGTCTCCTTGAGAGATTCCTCGTCGGATATTGGAGGTGGGAATGCCTTTTGCTTTATTTGGGTATAATGTGGTTTTTCTATAGTTTCATGCTATTTACTATCACTGAAGAGACTTTGTACATTTCCAAAGCCCTACGGATCCAAGAGTGTGCAAAAATATCAAAAGGTTTACGGTAATCTATTCAAGCTACGCTAAGATTTCTACAGCTTCATGCTATATTTAAGGAAATTTACTATCACCGAGGAGAATTTTTACATTTCTAAATCCCTACGAAACTAAGAGTGTTGCAAACTATCAAAAGGCGTAGGGTAATCTATCCAAGCCGCGTTAAGATTTCTAACTTTTTTCCTGAAAATCTTTAGGATGGTTTTATTTATTAGCAGTCAATCTTTGCAACCCTGTGAACATCTTCAACATCCATTCTGTTACAGAGTAAGTACGATTCGTCAGGACAGACGTGATTAGTTTATATGTGGTTGACAGACATGTTATTGACCTATAATGTGTTTAATCATCTGTTTCATCTGTTTTTCGTATGAGATGTGTAATACCTTCAGTGGTTCATTCTGGAAAGGACTCCGAGGTATTTATAGAATGTTTTGGATTGTTGCCTTGGTGAATGCCAATTTTCTTCTCAAATTCTGATTAAACCTGATGTATAGAATGTCTTTGAAAAATTGAATGATATTGTGTTTTTTAATGATTTCCTTGAATTGAATCAAGTCTCCAGCCCTCTCTCACCCTCAAAACACCCCACACCTTAACAGACCCGCCCGATGCTTAAAACAGAAGAATTTTATGTGCAAAAGGCAAAAGAACATTGAAAGATCGGTAAAATGTTTTGTGGCCAACCGAATCCAAATTTGAAGAATTTGGCAGTAAGACGAGAGTGTATGTAGAAAGGAATTCAGGAGAAAGACTGAATGATGAATGTATGGTTCCAATAGTTAAGCATAGTGATGGCTCTGTTATGTTTCAGGCTGCATCTAACTTTGGTAAAGATAAAGTAAGCCAAGTCTAATACTTCCAAGAATGATATACCGAATGTAACATCAAAATTGTCCCAATCGTTTAACAGCATGGGATAATTATCCCTCCCGCAAAATGTTTAATATCTAAAGAACCACTAAACTATTTGAGTTTTTTTCCAGGTTTTCAGATAAGACGTTTAGCCATCTTGACACCATTTGTCGTAAGAACCACTGAAAAAAAAAACCTTTGAGTTATTCAACTAAAAAGGGAGCAGGTTAAATTTTTTTGTGTCAGCCCCACTATGTCTTCCCAACAGAGCAATGTTGGGAGGGAAAATCATTCAGATTTTCAGTAATGCTACCTACATTCATACTCTGTATGTCATCAAGAAATCTCAATAGAACGGTGAATAAGGTTAAAAAAGACGGAACAGTAGAGAGGAAAACTAGATCACAAGGTCACAACAAGAAGAGGGATCATCATTTCAACTAAATACATTCATATTGTTCAAAGTAAATTCCAATAGTTTTATACAAACCTCAGAGAATTCCAGTAAGATCTCATTAATCATTTCTAAGATACCACGGTTCAAATCTTAATCTAACAATTTGACAATTTTGCTGCTGCATGATTTGGCAATTTTGCGGTTATATCAGGTATATATATATGATGAGAGATCCCGATAGACTGAGATAAAAACTGTGGACATAAGAATTAACACAGCTTGATGACTGTCATTTCACACTGTGTTTCAGACTGTGGACCTGCTGGAGTCTAGGTTAACACACACGTTTTCTGCGCCACTCGTTTTTTTCGTATTTTATAAGCAACTTGGGATTTTGACAAGGACATAAAACATTTACTAAAAATTATCGCAGATATTTTTAATGCTTGCGTTTGATAAATAGAAAACAGCGACATTTAAAGCTAACCGGGAAACTATGGATGACGCCAAATGATGTACTTTAATGATCAATAAAGGAAATTGAGTAAATGTTGTTAATTTCTTTATTTTTATAATGTAGTTATTATTTAGTATTTTATTTTAATTTGATAAAGTGTTTAGGTATCTATTTATTTTAAATGATAGGCATTGGTTAAACTTTTTCTTT